ACACTGGACTGATAGACAACATCATAATAACTGGAAAAAAGATTGAGACTTTCAACGACTTAGTCTTACTTGGATCCACAGTCAACACCCGTGGTACTAGTAATCAAGAAATCAGGAGATGTAGGGCACTTGGGAAAGTCTGAAGTCAGGACTTCTCCAAATTATTGAAGAGCAGTGATAGCATTTTGAGAACTAAGGTATGTCTGATTCAGGCCATGGTTCTGATTGTTTGTTATATATCGGAGATCTGAACAATGAATACAGGTAATAGAAGAAAAATGTATGCCTTTGATCTGCAGTGTTGGAGAAGAGTGCTGAACATCCCATGGACTGCCAAAAAAACAAGGCTTGGAGAAAGTGCAGCCAGAGTGCTGCTTGGAGGCAAAGATTATAAAGCTTTGCCTCACATACTTCAGGCATGTTGCTAGGAGAGACTATTCCTTTGAGAGGGACATCATATTTGGGAAAGTGGAGGGATGGAGAAGGAGAGGAAGACTCTGAACATGGTGGATCGACACAATGACTTCCACAATGGGCTTTAGTGTGTCAGGAAGTGTGAGGATGACACAGGATAGGACAGGTTTCAGATCTGTCGTTCAAAGGTCTCTGTGGGTCATACTCAATGGCACCTGACAACAGGTACCAGACACTAGTAATGTGCACCACTGGGCTGTGTTTCATTCTGTTGTATTCAGTGACTCAGGTCACTCTGAGTTGAAACCAACTTTAAGGTATCCAACAGCAACAGCCTAAAAGCACTAGGATAAATGTAATATGCATTGGCTCATTTAATCATCAGACTGTGAGGGGTTTAATACTGTCCACCTACTTTGTATATTTCATGAGTCCCTTGTTTTTCAATGTAGTGTAGTATTCCAATGTGTAGATATACCACAGATTCTCTATCCATTCGTTTGTTGATGGGCACTTAGGCTGTTTCCAACTCTTTGCTATTGTGAACAAAGCCACGATAAACATGGGTGTGCATATGTCTGCTTGGGTGGTAATTATGGTTTCTTTGGTGTATATTCCCAGTAGTGGAACTGCTGGGTCAAATGGTATTTCTATTTGCAACTTTTTGAGAAAGCGTCATACCGCCTTCCATAGTGGTTGTACCATTTTACACTCCCACCAACAGTGAATAAGGGTTCCAGTTTCTCCACAATCTTGCCAGCATTTGTTGTTTGCTGCTCTGTTAAATTTTGCTATTCTGACTGGGGTGAGATGATATCTCAAGTTTTGATACTTTTCTGTCTATGTACTGATGCAGTAATTTTTTAGAAATCTCCTGCATTATTCTACTTGCATGTGATTTTGATTATAATTGTTTGATACTTGCTGCATTCTTTTGGACCACCTCCCCCACCTTTCTTTAAATTGGCCCAAATATAGATCTCTTCCAGTAGGTTGATCAACCAGAAGAGTAAATTGAGCTTCCTTAAATGTGAAAGAATACATTTCTATTAAAACCATCTATGTGTACTTCTGTTCTAGCAGCACTAGAAACTAGGGCACCATCCATTTATCTTTATTTATTCATTCATCTGCTGATGAACTCTTGGATATTTATATTTTTTACCTGTTATGAATAATGCTCCTATGAACATTTATTTACAAGTTTTTAATTGGTTTGTGTTCTCACTTGTCCTGAATATTTACATAGGAATGGAATTACTGGGTCATATGGTAACCTTTTGAGGAACTGCCAGACTTTCCTACAGTGACTGTACCATTTTACGTTTCCACCAGTAATATAAGAGAGTTAGACATTATATTGTCGGTACTTATTAAAATTGTACAGGGGTGTGTGGGGGAGAGGGTAGGTTGTGAAACTGGTGCCAGCTACATGATCCAAAGTGGAATTGAGCAGGAAAAGAATATTCTCTTTAATTTTTTTTTCTCCCCAGCTGGTCTTCTTTCCCTTTAGTCAAATCCAAGTGGAAGCTTGAGGGCAAGGGAGCCTCTGGGGCAGAGAGACAGGGTCGAAACTCTGTGTTGGGGAAGGGGTGGAGACCAGCAGGCAGACCACAAAGTATGGAACAAATGAGCAGATTAAATGACACTGTGAGGGAGATGTTTTCATTTCCATTTTGAAATGAGAAAACTGAGGCTCAGAAATGTGTTTGAGAGCACACAGTTAGTTAATAAGTCAATTGTGGCACCAGCTTTATTTTTTAGTGAGCTCTGGTGACTTGGTGGTAAGGATTCAAATCAACTGCCAACTCAGCTGGTTTGAATCCACCAGGCACTCGGTGAGAGAAAGATGTGCAGTCTCCTCCTATGGGATTTACAGCTTCTGAAAACCCGCTGGAGGCTCAGCTATGAATCAGTTTCCACTTGATGGCAGAAAACAACAAACTTTATTATTACTTTTTTGTTTACTTTTTAAATTAATACGTTTTTATTTCATAAAGGCTTATAAAGCATGTTGGTTCCCTCAACCTGGTGGTTTGCACACAGTGACAGCAGCCATGCATTTGAGTGTGTCAGAGATTGTGAGGATGGCACAGGATAAGACAAGGTTCAGAGCTGTTGTTCTGAGGTTAGCTACGAGTTGTACTCAACTCAATGACACCTAACAACAATAACCACCACCCATATCACACCACTTATAGTCACCTGACATGTTACAACATGACATGTTACATTGGAGAAAGAATGCACTTTAAAAAATATAAAAATATGAATATATTTGCACATAATGTAAAAAAATAAAACATATTGGTTTTAGTAGATATTTTGTGTTGTAACATTAATTACCACTAATTAATATGTTGTTGTTGGTATGTGCCGTTGAGTTGCTTGTGATTCATAGTGACTCTATGTACAACAGCCCTAAACCCTGCTCTATCCTGTGCCAGTCTTAATGTCTCCAATACACCTACCCCCATTACCTCCATCACTGAATGAATCAATCTCATCAAGGGTCTTCCTCCCTTGTGCTGTCCCTCCACCCTCCCAAGCATGATGTCCCTCTCCAAGGACTGGTCCTGCCTTGCAACATGACCAAAGTATGTCAGACGAAGCTTCAGAATCCTTGCCTCCAAGGAGCAGCCTGGCTTCACCCTCTCTAGGACGAACCTGTTTGTTCTCCTAGCAGTCCATGGTATATTCAACACTATTCTCCAGCACCACAGCTCAAAGGCACCAGTTCTCACCCAAAGAACCCTTTTTTGTGTTTTACTTTTCACTCTTTTTTTTTTATATATATTTACACCTCCTCTCTTCTTTCTCATTCCTGTTAATCCTCTAAGATTAATTCTGTGGATAAACTTTCTCTTAACTTTTTGGGCCACTTAGTGTAATTTGTTCTAGAATCAGCTGCGTTGTACAGTATTTCACGAATTCATGGTCATTTTTAGTGTTGTATGGTACTCCACTATGTGAATATTCCAGGGGACTTTTTTTAGTCATTTGTCCATTGATGGACCGTTAGGTTGATTCCAACTTCTTGCTTTTACAAATGATGCTGCAGTAAAGACAGGAGTATGTATGTTAGCTTGTGTCACGGCCCTTACATCTTTGGTATATAAACCTAGTAGTGAGATTAAAAAAAAAAGAGGCAAAAAAAACAAAAAAGAAGGGATTTTTTTTAAAAAAGCAGTGAAAACCAAAACCATATAAACACCAAAGTAAAAGTTTATTAATTCTAGATATGTCAGAAAATTAAAACCATGCAACAGTGAATTAATGGAAACCTTAAGTCTGTGTAAACTTTCATTAAAATTAATAAAAAAAGAAAAGAAAATGAAAATCAGCCAACAGGGAAGATAGCGTTGACTCAGGACACACAACAATGACTCACATGTATCCAAAGACAACTTGGTTTACATCACAGTAGATCTCCTTCAGGACAATTTTCTGTACAGGTTCTCACATCATTATGAGTCTTCTCCAAAAATAAGATCGTACCATACACAGTGCTTGGTAACTGGCTTCCTTTACGCAAGCAACTAGGAGCCATGTGGTGACCCCCAGTTCCTAGTGCCCTGTGGTGGTGGTATGCAAACTGCAAATGTTTTCACTGGCCCCAGCTAGAGTCCGGGGCTTCCCCTTGCCACTGATACTTCCTGGGAGTTTGGGGACAGGAAATCACACCAACCAGGGCCTCTGACCAAACAGCTTGGGGAGCAGAAACACAGAGGAAACCGCCCTGCCCTCCCATCTCCAGTTCTGCCCACCCTAGTTCTCAAGTACATGCCTTCTCCCATCCTCACCTCAGCTCCACCCCAACTCCTCCAATCCAAATCCTCCACTGAGGCCCCGAAATGCTCATCACAAACCTCCTCCATTTCCCTCCTACCAAAGCTGAGAATCTAGAACCCCCAGATGCCATCCCAGTCCCTCAAAAAGAGCAGGTGATGGCACCGTCATCACACAGCAGCTGTGGGAGCAGGGCAGGGCAGGGCAGGATGCTGGGGTGGGGTGGGTGGAGCCGGGGCCACTTCCTTTCCCCTTGGGGCCCTGTCTGCTCCAGTCTTGCCTTAGCCTTAGAAGGTGGTGGAGTGGCCTGGTCCCAACCCCGTGCTCTTGACCCAACGCTGTGAGCTTGTCAACTGAGCTGGTAAGAGGCTGTGGGGCTCGGGCTTCAGTGGACCTGAAGATGTATCCATGGCTTGAAAGGCTCTGCTGGGTAGGCCAGGGAGCGGGCAGGTGTGTGTGAGAAAAGAGGACCAGGGGCCACTGGGTGGAATGGGGTCAGGGGAGGCCAGAGGTGGTGGTCAGGGCTAGAGTCCAAACTCCCAAGACCTACAAGGACCTGAAAAATGGGTTGCCAGGGAGTAGTAAGCATCTGATCCCTGGTGACTTCTGACAGTAGTAAAATCAAGGCTGGAAAAAGCCGTTAAACCGCAAGTGGAGCTGTCCGTTGGTAGGGAAGTAGACAGGAGGACAAACCTGCTTGGTCTCCCCTCCTCAGCTCCCCCTCTTCCAGAACCTTCGGTGTTCTGCTTCTCAAACTTTCCCACTTTCAGGTCTCCCACTGCCTCATGCCAGTTGCCATGGGAATAGTCCTGTTGTTCCTCCTCTTTGGGGGCTCCTGGGCCCAGAACCTGACCTCAGAGTCTTCGGGAGCCACAACCACGTTGCTGATGTCACTTTCTGTGGGAAGCGTCTCAGATCGCCCTGAGGCCTCGAACTCAGTGACTTCTTATCCTGTGGAGACTAACAGCACTGGGGACCAGATCTCAACCCCACCTCCTCCAATTTCTTTTATGACCAATGAGAAAGTGACCTCTCTCGGGACTCTGGCTGGTGCTGACACTGTCCCTTCTGCATCTGAGCCAACAGCCTCCCAGGACCTTTCCATCAAGGATTCACCAGTGGTCCTGGAGACCTCGAATGTGACCAGTGAACTTGTCCCTTTAACAATGAGCTCTCTGGGACCCCACACTGGACCCCGTGAAACCGTATCTAGCTCTCCAGAGACCTTCAGTAGAGCAAGAGGCCTCCTGGTTCCCCTAACAACTAGCTCTTTGGAGACCCTCAATGGAGCCAGTGAGCTCCCTGCCACCCCACCAGCCAACTTCGCGGAGACCCTCAATGGAACCAGTGAGCTCCCTGCCACCCCACCAGCCAGCTTCGCTGAGACCCTCAATGGAACCAGTGAGCTCCCTGCCACCCCACCAGCCAGCTTCGCGGAGACCCTCAATGGAACCAGTGAGCTCCCTGCCACCCCACCAGCCAGCTTCACGGAGACCCTCAACAGAACCAGTGAGCTCCCTGTCCCCCGGCTGACCGGCTCACCAAAGGCCTTCAGTGATGACAGCAGACACCTTGTAACCACGACCTCTCACTCTCTGGAGACCTACAGCATAAAAATGCCCGCCATTGTTACCTCAGAGACTTCCACAAATGTGACCACGGGGCTTGCCCCACTTTCAGACCAGAGGACACATAGCACCTTGCTGATCACTGTGCTTGTGACCCTGCTGGTGGTGATTGTCCTCATGGTCCTGCTTCTGCTGTGGCGCTGGCGCCAGAAGCAGCGGACAGGCGTCCTGACGCTAAGCAGAGGTGGGAAGCACACCAGAGTGGTGGATGCCTGGGCGGGGCCGGCCCAGGTGCGTGACGAGGAAGCAGTGACAGCAATGGTGGGAGCATCTGGGGGGGACAAGGGCTCTGAAGTCCCCGCTGGGGAGGGGGCCGGCCGGCAGCCCACACTTACCACTTTCTTTGGCAGAAAAAAGTCTTGCCAAAGCTCCTTGGCAATGGAGGAGCTGGAGGGTGGGTCAGCTTCCAGCCCAAAGGGGGAGGAAGAGCCTCTGATGGGCAGTGATGACGGGGCTGCGGAGACCCCTGCCTCTGATGGGCCAGTAGTCAAAGATGGGAATGCGTCTCAGTGCTTATGAATAACCAGTGGAAGTCAGATCATGTAGAGCTTTCATTTCCTTCCCTGCTGCCAGACATTTCAACCTCTTCCTCACCCAACATCCTCATCCTGCATCTACATCCTACACTCACTAAATATTTGGGAACTGTGTGCATCAATCTTCCTCATTAGCTTATAGGGCTCTTCCCATCACTATTCTTTGTCTCTCGTCTTTGGCACCAACTGTTGAGCCTCCATAGTGCCACGCATCCTTGATCTAGAATTTCGTTGAGGATTCTTCAGGGATACCAGAGTCTGAGGGGGAAAACCAAATGATAACCCAGCAAAACCCCACCGAGATGGCTTTTTGGCCCCGAAGATTAGATGGCCCTGGTGTGGGGCCAGTCCATGAGCCTCCTCTAGCTCTTAGCTCCTGTCCTCTGTGCCAGCTGGCCCTGCAGCACTGGTTGGCTAGAACCATCCCTCTGTGCCCTCTGCTGTGCCTGTGACCCTTCCCAGAGAACCTGGACTGTAGCCTGGACCAGGGCTTGACCCCGTGCCTTCTCCTCCACTCCTGAGATGAGGCAGCCAGAGATTTAGGAGAATTCTTCTCTCAGAGGCAGAGATGAGAGGAGTTTCTAGACAACTGTCATTTTCAGAACTTCGTGCACCTGTGTGAATCTATTCACGGCTGTAACTTGTGTGTATGAGGTGAGAGTTGGCAATGTGTGTGGAGGGGTAGTGTTAAATAAAGGTGATGTGAGGGAGGGTTGCGGGCATGAACCTGGGTAGAGGGAGAGATGAACCATCACCCCCAGACAGACTGCGGGGAGCATTTAGCAGAGGACTTTGTAACCCCCTGAAGAATGCTGGGTGCATTCTTCATCTCAGCAACAATACTCCCTGCCTCCAAGCCTCCTTTAATCCATCACACACACACGCACATACCCAGGCAGTAGGATAGGTTACTTCTGTTGTTACGTGTTGTCCAGTAGATTATAACCTAGTGACCATATGAACGTCAGACCTGAACCGTGTCCTATCCTGCCCATCCTGATCACCTCTGCTGTGCTGCAGGCCATTGTTAACCACGGTGTCAATCCCATTTTGTTGGTGTCTTCTTCTCTTTCTTTGACCCTCCACTTTTCTCAGCATGAAATCCTTTCCAATGATTGGTCCCTCCGCCCTGTAGTGCAGCCTGAACACTGAGTAATTTTGTTGGACTTTCCATCCCCTGGGCTCGCTGGCTCTTCCCCCTGCTACAGATTTGGTGCTGGTCTATACCTTCTTCACTCATGGAGGCCTGAGCATCTTCAAGGGGGGAGTGAGCTAACTAAGAAACAGAGACGTCAGGAGCCAGAGGCTTCCCCTCTGAGCCTGGAGTGGAGACAGGAGAACAAGCTCTAACTGTCCTTTCTCCCGAGACCAGCCAGGTGAGGGCCCAGTGGAGCACGTGGGCAAGAGGCAGTTGCTGTTTCTCCAGGGCAAGGAGGAAATTTGTAAAGAGGAAGTTGTTGAGTCAGAGAGCGCAGTGGCTGAGCGGAGACAGATTGACCCACAAACGGAGAGACAGAAGGGAACTCATGAGAGTGGGCTGGCATCGTGGTCTAGTCTGGTCTGGCCAGAGGTGGGCGATAAGGCCAGGGCGAGCTCAAGTAGGTCAGGCCACGAGGCAGAGAGGGGAGGGCGGGAAGGGTGGTGGTCAGCTGTCGATCACAGCCCACCACGTCTGTGCTGTTGGAAAAAGTGGACAGGAGCTGAGATGGGTTAGAAACCAGCTAAGCGAGGGCCACTCAGGGCCCCGTCCAGGCATGATTTCCGACTTTCCCTGAAGCCACTGCTTGAGCTCATTGTAGCCCTTGACCGCAGAATGCGAGTTCCAAAGTCTATTTGCGATGACACAACTGCTCTCTGGGCTTTGTCAAGTCAAGGGCCCCCAAATTAGAAGTTAGAACATATTATCCCTGGATTCAGAGGTCTCCAATTCCATACCCTTCCCATCTGACAGATGCGGTCATTACTGGCTTCAGGGGCTCAGGCAAATCTGGAAGAAAATGGGGTGAGGGTGGGTAAGGCATCCAGTTCAATATTTTCACAGCCCATAGAATATGGAAATATGTGATGAGTGTTAAAATAGAGGTGTAAACAGAATGTTAAGAGTGCACTAAAAGGAGAACTGCAGAAGGAGACACTTGGCTGCTGGGGGGAAGGGTGGGGACCTCCCCGAGAGGTGACATCTCACAGGGTCTTTGTATCCCATGCCGTGTTCCTGGGGGCAGTTGTGCCTGACGTATCCTAGGTCCTCAGTGAGTACTCATTTAAATAAATGAAATAACTCCCGAGGTCTTGAAGGATGAGAAGAATTTTGCTGGGCTGGAAGGGGAAGGACATTCTGTTCTGAAGGGACAGTAGCAGAAAGGCCTGGCAAAGGAACCATGGACAGTTCTGCATAGAGTCTTTCTTGAGCAAATGCTACAGAAAACATTCTAGAGGGAGGGAGAGGGAAGCAAGGAAAACAGTTGCTATTGTTAAGTCCAAAACTGGGGGAAAAAAAAAAAGAGAAACAGTAAAATATATAAAATATGATCATAAGACATGATCAAACACATCAATTATGAGAATACTTATTAAGGGTTTATTATACTTCTACAAAAATCACATTTTTTAAAAATTGTGTAATGATGTTGGAAAATTCCTGTAATATAATGTTAAATAGGGAAAAAACCCTTCTAATCTGTATGAACATATCTTAGTTTTATAATAAAGATTAAAAAAAACATGTATGTGTATGCTTGTGGGTGAAGAAAAGCCTTCAAAGAAGCATCCCAAATGTTAGTGTGGTTATCGATAAAGTCTTGGATGATTTTTGTTTCTATTTTTCTGTATTTTTCAAATTTTTTACAATAAATATTGGCTATGTCTACAATTAGAAAACAGTATTAATATGAAAGGTGGTTGATGAGGTGGAACCGAAGTGTCTGGTTTGCGGGTTATTGTGAGAGATGAGGCTAGACTGGGAGGTTAGAATGTCAGGAGAGCTTGAGAGTTTGAATTTAGTTCTGGAAACATTGGAGATGTTAACATATACTTGAAATCTGCTTTATTCCTCTTTCCTGAGGCCTCAGTAAATGGTAGGTTACATCATCTGTCTGATTGCCCAGGCAAAATGCCTCAAAACCATCCTAAAAACTAACTTCCCTCTCATCACAGGTAACACATCCAACTGTTCCCTCTTCTATCATCTCTTGCATCCCTGCTAGACCCCTGGACTGATCACAAGGATCACATATCTTGGTCTGGGGCCCAGTTACTTCCATTCTCTCCTCACCATGGTCCCAGAGAGCTTCATAAAGGGCCCTTATTCTTAGCTGCCCTTCTGTTTAGGAACAGAACTCACCCACTTGACTCAATTTTCAGCCAAATAATAGACGGGTATATAAGGTGAACAATAGCACTTGAAAGGCAGGGACTCGTTAGAACAATTAACAATTCAAGATCAGAAGGGCCAAGGACAAAGCTCCGAAGGCAAAGGAGGGTTAGGGAGAGAGGAGTGGAAATGGGAAACACTGGGAAGGAATTGGGTGAGTGACGTTACATTGTGGGGCTTGTAATCAGTGTCATTAAACTGTATGAATTATTGAATAGAAAACTGATGTGCTCTGTGAACTCTCACCCAATCCACAATAAAAAGTTATAATAACAATAATAAGAGACCACTCTCCAAGGCCACTTGGATAATGTCTATTTTCCTGAGGTGCACAAGACCCCCCAAGATCTGGCCTCGCCTTTCCTCTGTCTTGCCAATGCCTGGCCAACCCATGGCCACTCTATGCTTTTCAGCCTCAGAAAGTTCTCATTAGCTGCATGACCATCTGCTTTATGTGAGGGAGAGGCAGTTTAAAACCTTGAAAAGGTTTCTTTTCTCTAAACAGAAAATATTTTTCTCTAAAATAATATTTAAAATATTTTCAAAAGCTATTTACCAGCACATTCCAGTTTCTTAACAAAAGCAGAACTTGAACTCCCTCCCGCACTCCACACAAACATAAGGCGTTACATGTGTTTGATCTTATATTTTATAATACGTGTTTGCTTTATGCTCAAAGGTGCACTTAACAGCGTGGTTACCAGTAAGGCTTCGTCCTCCAAAGTCAAAATTCCAGATCTAAGAAGGGTTGGATGGGAATGATGAGACACAATAAGAATATAATCAAATGGTTCCCAAACCCCCAAACTAGTGAGAGCTGGAGATTTCAAACAAAAGTAGAAACTTTCAGAACCTAAGAGTCACTGATTCACAAGCTTATGCAGTGGGTGACAGCCCAGATCTGCAGAGATTTGGGGGAACTGGAGACATTCTGGAGACAATAAGCTGCCAAAGCGTAGCTCTTGCTCAGACTCCTCGGGCACTTGACGTACTCCTTCCCAGCCTGAGGCATCAGCCAGCTTGGCTGAACTGTCGCCCTGACACCAGTTCCAACAGAGCTGACTTAGTGTTGCCATGGGACCATCAAGAGACAGCCACTGTCTTAGCGATCTGTTGTTGTGTACTGTTACTGTCTACCGTCGTGTTGGAGCCAACCTGTAGCTGACCCTCCAGTGGGTCTATAGAGGCAGCTAATCATATAGGAAGAGATCGCCTATCTTTCTCTCTCAGAGCAGCTGGTGGATTCGAACCATATACCTTTGCATTGACAGCACAATTCCTTACCACTAAGCCACCAGAGCTCCCTTGTCTTAGTGATGTAGTGGTGCTGCATAATAGAGACACAAGTGGATTGCTTTAACAAATAAGAATTTCTTCTCTTAGAGTTTAGCAGAACTTTTGGACTTTGTTGTGTACCATCGAATTTGGAGTTGACCCACAGCTAACCTTCCAGTGGGTTTTCAGAAGCAGCTAATCACAAGGGAGGAGATTGCCCATCCTCTCCTATAGAGCAGCTGGTGGATTCAAACCACGTCCCTTCCTGACTGCAGTGCAGCTTCTTAACACTAGGCCACTCGAGCTCCAGATTCAGGGTGGTAGCTCTAGGGGAATGCCCTCTCCACTCATCAGTCCTGGAGGGAGGCCCTTGGTTCCTGGCGTCTGGAGCCCTGGATGTTTGCGGGAGACCTCCAGGTGTGTTGGCCTTCTCTGATGTCAAGGAACTTTGTAGCACAGAGGCCTGAGTTTATAAAAACACACTCCGTTCCTGTAGATTATTTCTTGGAGAGACTGAGTTCTCCCCTCTTTCCTCCCCTTTTATCCCTTTTCAGTACAACCCACATCCTAGGGAAACTATGATTGCATGGGCTCAGAGCTGTATCACATTTCACAGTTAATTCTCATGCGACTCTTTGAATCATGAGGGGGTCATTCCATAGCTTCCACATGACATCATTACATACGCACATTCTGGGGACACACAATGCAATCCATGAAAGCCATCTTCTGCGTCTTCACATCATCTGCCTGAATCCACCCCACAACACTCACGTCTTGACTTCCTGCTAGGCTCCTCCCCAAGCATCTAGATTCCGCTCACATGCTGAGAAGCCACACTTGCTGCCCTCACCTCAGACAGAAGTGATATTTTGTCGCCATGACTACGATGCCTTACGTGACAACAGGAGGAACTTAGATGCAATCAAGTAAAGGTTCCCTCTCTTGTTAGTGTGTGAGCCCCTCAGCACTCGTGCGTGTTCGTGTCACCCCCCAGAGCTTAGCACAGTGCCTGGCACACAGTAACTCCCTGTGCATTTATGTCTGTAGGTAAACATCTATTTATTGGATGGAAGGATAGATAAATGAATTTATGAATGAACAAACAAAAGTTTTGAAATAAGTGCATGTCAGGAAATCTGTTCTTTGCCTGCATTTAGAAGGATAGTCTGAAGGAAGTAAAGCCCAAGATGAGAGTATTATGCTAGTCTGAGAATAATAATATGACAGGAATCTGGCCTTGGTGTATAGTGAATCACTTAATAGGATTCTTTTTTTAAAATTTTTATTTCATTATTTTTTTGTGTGTACCGTCAGATCAGATCTGACTGGTACAGGAGGAGATTGTTCCTCCTTCTCCAGCAGAGCATCTGGTGGATTCGAACCATGCACCTCTGAGATTGCAGTGCAGCTTCTTGCCACTAGGCCACCAGAACTTGCCAAGAGGATTCTTTTAACAATAACTCCCATGACATGATTCTCATGACTCAGCTTGTTGCCTTTCAATTGGAACCGACTTGTGGCTGACCCTCCAGGGGGTTTTCAGAGGCTATAAATCATCCTGGGAGAGACTGTCCATTTTTCTCCCACGGAGCCTGTCTGCTGGATTTGAACTGCCCAATGTAACTCTCCACCAACTACACCACGAGCGCACCAGATGATTAGGTTGTTGTTGTTAGGTGCCATTGAGTCGACCATGATTCATAGTAACACCGGGTACAACATATCGAAACCTCGCCCAACCTCGCACCATACTAACAATCTCTGTTAGCTGCAGTCACTGTCTCAGTTCACCATGTTGAGGATCTTTCTCTCTGACCCTCTGGTTTTCCACACATGAGGTCTTTTCCCAAGGACTAACCCCTCCTGAAAGCCTAAAGTGTGAGAGACGAAGTCTTACAATACTCACACCTAAGGAGGATCTTGGTTGTACTTCTTTCAAGACAGATTTCT